AAGGCGTGTGCTTACATAAAAGGCCTGGCCGCCAGTCACCCGGTCGCAATCCCAGTAATTGTATCGGCCGCGGGTGGACCAGCGAGCGTTGTGAGGGATGGGATCGCCAGTGTTCTTGCCACCACAGTAGCCGCGCGATACGAGCGCATGCTCGGCCGGGAAAGCAGTGACGGGTTTGATGACGGATTCTTTGACGTCGTTAGACGCGAGGTTCCAGCGAATTTTGTAGCAAAGATCAAGGTTTGCCGAGGCACTTGCCGCCAAGAGAAGGGCGGCAGCCATGGCCACCCAGGGCCCAGCAAGGGCGGTGCGCTGGCGAGGCGCCATGACGCCTTGAAGGTGAGTAGGAGTTGTAGCTTGTATAGGCGTTGAGGTATGGGCTGAACAAAGGCAGCGATGGGGGGGGACAGGGGCAACAAGGCTCCCAAGTTGGGTACGAGGACCGTCAGCGAAGAGCCACGGAAGAGTTTTGGTGGCGGTGAGGCAAATGGGCTTGATCGCTATTGGCCTGGCCGGGAGGACAGGATATGCGATGATGAGAAATGCAGGAGCCAAGGGAGAAGAAGAAGGAGGAGAGAGACAGAGAGCGAGAGAGAGAGAGAAGCAGGAGAATGTGACTCTGAGTGGAACAGAACACAGGCCAGCTGGTGTGGGGTTGGGTGACGATGGCAGGGTGTGTGTGTGGGTCAGGCTTCTTCTCAGAGCGACTTACGGGGCTGCTTTCACGAGTGGCAGCGCGCGAGGTGACCTCGGGCAGTGGGCAGCGAGGAAATATGCGGCTCGAGCCTTGGTGGGTGGTAAGGGGTGGTGGGCTTGGGCGAGGGGGGGGGGCTCGCGCGTGTGTCGCTTGCGTTTGGTGGCACGAGGAAGGGGACGCTTCACAGGTATGTGGACAGCCGGCGCTAGCTCGCGTTTGGTGCAAGCACAAGGCATTTGCTGGTGGGCTAGGCGCACTGGGTGGGCAGCGTCGGAGAGGGCAGGTCAGTACGGGAAGTGGGATTCGCGCGCTGGCGCATGGTTTACTTGGGGTTCACTCAGACCATGTTGTGTGTTGGCAGTCGTCGAGGTATGTCATGCATGGCATGTCGGGCGGACACACATTCAAGGCAATCCCTCGAGCAGGAGAAGCAAAACCGTTGCGGCCGGCGCCTGAGCGTGTCCGCTTCCTAAAATACACGAAGAGCGGACACGTACGTGGAGCGGGAGCGGGCATTGACGTGAAGCAAGGCGTCGCGTTCGCGTTTGCGCTTGCAGCTTCTGACGACGGCGCATGGACACAGGGCATTCCTTCGGGGTAAGAGGCGGCAAGAACCGAGGCAGCATGTTATCAGTGGGGAAGAATTGACGGGGTACAAACGAGACGTTTCGCAGGAAAGAAAAGCACAAGATGAGGGAGGGGCGTCGAGGCAGCAGCTTACAGTGGGCCGGGGTGTGATGTGGCTCTGGAAGCGCGGGCACCCCGCCAGATGAGAATCAAGAGCAGCGTCGCGATTGGTGGCAGAGGAAAGGCAAGGGCATAGCATAAATCAATTTCAGGGTGCTCGGAAAGGTTGCAGAGGCGCCTTTATTGGCACGATCTCAGGAAGGGTTGGGGTAAAAACACGCGGAAGAGCGCCGGATCCGTCCACTGTGGGTAAGACGTCCCAGTTGGCCAGAGGGGCCCGAACCCAACAGAGGCCCAACAGGTACCAAGATGGCAAGACACGAACAAGAAAAAAAAAAAAAAAAAGAACAGAACAGAACAGAACATGGGGGAGAAGGGAGGGGGGCAGCTGGCTGCCATGTCAAGCTGTGACAAGGGGCGCGCCCCACGGCCAGACAGAAGTGTACGCACGCACAGACATGGTAACAAACAGGCATGCACATGCATAGGGACAGGGCACACCCACACGCGCGCGCGTGCCTGAATAAGGCACATGGTGATGGAGCATCATGATTCCCGGGTCAAAACGGCAGCGGGAAGCAAGAATCACAACGACAAATCATGATTACATGAGGGGGGACACTTTAGTGACGGAGCCCAGGGGAATGGTGTCGGGCTCGTCGCTTGCCTCTGCGCCAGCGTGCTCTTCAATGTCCCAGAACTCACGGTCGTGGAAGGGGGACTGCGGCGCGGGCAAAAGGCGGAGCACAAAACCAGTGGCAAGGCCACCGCCGATGGCCAGACCAAGGGTGACGACGAGGGCCAGAAGCTGATTACCGGCCTGTTCGCCAGCGGTAGTTCCGGTGGCGCGAGCAGCATAGATTTCGCCGAGAGCCGAGCCGTAGTCGCTGGCTTTGGCCAGGGAGGCGGCGATGACGCCGCCCAAGCCGCCCACCACGCCGGGCATGCCGTGCAGATTGTGGACGCCGGCCGTGTCGTGAATGCGAAGATAGCGGTCCAAAAGGCCGCTGATGTAAACGTAGCCGACGACGCTGATGAGACCGGCAACAAAGCCAATCAGAGCGGCGCCATAGGGCTCGATAAGAAGATCGGCCGAGGAGCCGACGGCCACGCCGCCCGCCAGGGTGGCGTTTTGAATGTCGACCATGTTGAAGCGACCGCGACGGAAGAGATTGCTAAAGGCGAAGGTGCTCATGGCGCTAAAGGCGATGGCAATGACCGTGTTGATGACGACGCGGTGCTGAGCGGACCCCGAGGCCAGGGCGCCGTTGAAGGAGGGCCAGAACATGAAGAGGAAGAGCGTGCCGATCATGGCAAAGACGTCAGAGGTGGAGGATGACCCATTGTTGGAGTTGTTGCGGTGCAGCTGCTTGCCGCTGGCCGTGGGACGGCTGTTGCCGAGCATAAAGCTGACGGCAAGACCAAAGTAAGCACCAAAGGCGTGCACGTACATGGAACCACCCACGTCCACGGCCTGGAACCTGAAAGGGAGGGGGCAAGAGAAAAACAGGGCAACGCTTGGTAAGCGATGACCACGTGCAAAGAACAAGAAGAAGAAGAAACAGAAGAAGGATCGACGGCTCAAGGCCATGTCTTTGCTACCGGAGCCAATCAAAGGTGCATGGTGGACGAGGGACATACTCAATGACGCCGATCGACTCGTTGAGGGAATAGAAGATGAGCTGAAGCAGGGCCATGACAAGGAGTTGTTCAGGGGTGGTCTTGCCAATGACGGCACCATATGCCACGAGAACGCTGGCGGCAGCAAAGTCACCGGTAATGAGGTTCTCGACGGTCATGCGAATTTTGTGGCTCGCCGCCTCGCCCTCGAAGATGCGATGCCAGAAGGTGTTGGTGAACTGGGCCCACTACTCGCAAAAAGAATCATGGTCATCAGTTACGTGAGAGCTAAGCTGATGCGGACAGAAGCCAGCGAGCGAGCGATGATGCTGCAGCCTGAAAGCACACGAGGTGCACCATGGCAAAGCCACACACGCACGCACGCAACCAAAAGTCGGGGCGCGGGCTGGACCAACCTGAAAGGCGATGCAGGCGAGGAACATGTTATAGGCGACGGCGCTAAAGCCGTATCGGGAGAGAAAGGTCATGAGCATGCCAAAGCCGATGAAGATCATGACGTGCACGTCCTGGTAGTAAGGGTAGCGCTGGTCAAGGATGGTAGGAGTGCCGGAGCAGGTGCTCTCTGCAGCATTGTAGGTGCAGCCCGCGGCCAAGCAGTCGATCTCGGTGAGGCGGGTGGCACAGGATTGGTCCATGCCGCTGCTGTCGCCGAGATCGCCATCGTAGCGCACCCAGACGACAAAGAGGATCAGCAGGATGATTTGCGACAGCAATGCCAGCACGCCAAAGCGTCGCGAGGCCATGATGATCAATGCTGGGTCACGCGACTTGTGTGTCGCGGTAGCCGTGCAGCGCAGAGCAGCAGCAGGAGGAGGAGGAGTAGAAGGAGAAGGCGAGGGGGAAGGGTTGCAACGGCAGCGAGCGTCAATGCCCACGCGTATCACACCCGCTTGACCCTGGCGTCAATCAACGTCCCCGGTCGGCTTCCAGTCACTCGGCGCGTCTGCCAAAGCAGCACGAGGGCAAACGGGGGGCAGCTGGACAGAACCAGCCAACACCGGGGAAGCGACAAGCAGCCAAAGAGGGAGAGGGAGTGTGCACGTATGCGTTGCACCAGCTGCCAGCCAGACAGCAGACAGGGATGATCAACCCAAGGCCACGGGGAAGAGAGCGGAGATGGTCGACGTGAGCGCGCGCGGTTCGAAAATGTGCAACACGCCCCCTCTCTGCTACTACTCCATGTACTGCTGCTGCTGGTAGATCACATACCTGATGATCGAGCAGAGGGTCCGACGACAAGTGAGTCGACGCCGTTGCCTTGAGGGCAATCGCGCGTGTCAAGGGTCGGCTGGCTTTCGGGTCTGGGTCACGCCGCCGCTGCCGCTGCCAAAACCCCCGCACGTATGCCGCTGTTAGATCTACCGCTAGATCTGCCCGTATCTCTGATTTACTCTCCGTTTCGGTAGCTTTCTCTGATTATATTTCCACTCGTGCTCTCATCTCTTTTTACAAGGGTTAACCAATGTACATGTATATCTGACTCACACACTCTCTCTGCCTCTACACACCAAACCACCATACTCTCCACCACAATCACACCACCACGCCCCACCCTCTTCCAACCAGTGTTGCAATCCCCAATAGCATTACCACATCCCCCTTTTAACGTTAACGTCACGTTAACGTTACACGCTTCTTACACGCATGTGGTATGTGTTGTAATGCATTAGCTTGTGGTCTTACCTCTTTACCTCTTTACCTCTTTACGCTTTACCTTAGGCGTTTAGCTTGATTGTGTTGACGACATAACAAGTTCAACGTGGTGGTTTGGCTTCGCTGTCTACATAGGCAAAATGCACACTGCTGACTTTTACGTGTTGAGCGCGTGTGGAGGACAAGGTCCAATGACACTTGGTAGGTGCTCGGGCTGATGTCATCGGCCTGAAATAGTGTATTCGTCTATGTTTGGAGGAGCGGCTGGCAACCAGGTCGTAGCAACGCGTCTGGCCCAAACACACTGCAAAACATCAACAAAACATCACGAAAACATCAACACGCCACTTTTATTTCGGACATCTCACTGCTTTCGCCTCTTGTATTGCCAAAATTATCGTCACTGATTTCGAGCATTATACATCAATTCATGCAAGCAGACCGAGCATGCCTCCAGCCCCATAGCTCAGGCAGCCCGATCCCAGATCCCGAACAAAGAGAAAAAAAGGGGAGGATGTCACCATACCGAGCCTCTCCCCACATGGAGCGCCCTCGGCTTTGACTGCAACGCCCCATCCCATCCATATCCATCCCCGGCTTGCGCCTACGCTTTTATCAATCCCATGCGCACACACACCCACGCATACACGCACACTTAAAAAGGGTTGCTTCACAACCCAGGAAGCTTGCTTAATCCTTCTTGATGTCAGCCGAGAGGTAGATTTCGTCTGAAACGGCCTCCTGCCATTCGACAGGCTTGCCGTCGAGACTCTCGTTGATGGCCACATGCTCTAGGCTGGTCGTGTCCGTGGCGCCGTGCCAGTGGCGGCGGTTGCAGTTGCACCAGATCATGTCCCCCGGGCGGATCTCCGTCTTTTGGCCCCCCTCGCACTGGGTCCAGCCCGTGCCCTTGGTCACCACCAAGATCTGACCCAGCGGGTGTGTGTGCCAGTTGGTGCGTGCTCCAGGCTCAAACTGGACCACGGCCACGCCCAAGCGCGATGGCTCCGGCGCCGGTAGATACTTGGCAATCCGAACCTCGCCCGTAAAGAACTTGGCCGGCCCCGGCATCGCAGGCATCGACCCATCACGGATCACACGCATGTCTTCATCGCTGGTCGGTGGCTTGGGCAGACCCTCCATCTTGTCGGAAAGCGGCGATTTTGAGTGAGATGCACACAGCAGACAGATCAACAAAAACTAAAAAAAAAAAAAAAAAGATGTATCCAGAGAAGCCAAGTCAAACACAGAGTCGGAAGAAAAATGCCCGCCCCGGACGCCCCGTCACTCGCCCAACCTGCCCCCTCTCCGAACCGCAGCTGCCCCGCCACAGGTCGGATCATTTGGTGCACCTGCCATGTCCCATAAAAAAAACTGGGCGAGGCGTGTCTCTTTGCAACGCCGAGCGATAACAGACATCTCTAAAGTCATCTTCAATCTCTACTTTATCTACTAAATTACGTTTAGCCCGCATCAGCACTTTAACTACATCTCTCAGGCCAACCGTTTTCTCTCGATTCTCACCCGAACCGAGCATCCCTCTGACAAAAGTATCTGACATTTCGACCCAACAACATGCAAGAAGGTGTATCACAGTCCTGCTTTGCTTTGCGCGCTGGCGCCCCCGCTGCTCGTGTTGTTGGATGACTTCGTCGCTCCATGTTGTTGAATGACTCGTCGCTCCGTGTTGTTGATGACTCGTTGCTGTTGATCGCTCGTTGTTATCGTCAATCTCTCGCTCGTTGTTATCGTCACTCTCTCGCTCGTTGTTGTCGTCGATCTCTCGCTGCTTGTTATCGTTGATCCCTCGCTGCTGATCGGGATGCGCCACCGCTTGCTTGCGTTGCATGTTATCAAAAAATTTTGCCGCTGTCACGGTGGCTTTGGGCCTGGGCTGGATTCCTGACTTGACCTAATCCGAGGCTTAACCGCGTTTGCTTTCGATCATCTGAAAAGGCCAGCAAGGCTCTGTTGCGGATCGGTGCAGGGGCCATCAAAAATGGTTGGTGATGCGAAGGCTGCGAGGGATGTGCGCCCTGCGGGGGCTACTGGGCCTGCTCGCGTTGCTTGTCGCGGCCACCATGGCCGCGAACACGGCAGGCAGCGAGTGCGGTGACCAGTACATCCTCATGAACAAGGCTATGGGCTGCACGGGTGACCCTTATTGTTGGAGCTATCTCGACCCTGCTGCTGTCACCTCCGAGGCCTTTGAGAACGTGACCCGCACCTTTCCAGCCGCGGCCCACAGTCGTCGTCACCTCGGGCTGAGCACTCAGATTAGCGTCCTTGATCCCGCCAACTCGACCTATCTCGCCTTTCTCCAACGGATTCTCGACATGGCCTTGCTGACCAAGGTAGCCGTATTCCCCCACCACCCGCCTCCAAGTCGCCCTCGCTCAGCTCCTCCGCGTACCCTGACCTTGGTCTGACAGGTACCCGTGGCCATAACGCTGGACCCCTTTGAGTTTTGGAACTGGCAAGCACCGTATTGGAATCATTGGAACCAGTCCCAGCCCGGTTTCAACGCCTCCAACTGCCACCACGTGGAATGGACTGGTGAGTTGAGATCATCCCACCAAGCCCCATTCCGCGTGTTGATGGCCATGGCCATGGCCATGGCCATGGCGGTTACCGGATCGCCCTGTCGTTCTTGGCATTACCCACGTCCAAAGGCAGGCTCGGGGTGAATCAAAGGATGGGTGCCCCCGGCTGCTGTCTCACACAATCTACCATGGACGCTGTTGCTCGGCCCGCACGCAGGTTTTGACTGTAACACTGACGCCACGCGAATTGCTTGGCGGGACTGGGGTGGCCAATTTCGTGTGGCGCCACACCCAAATATTGCCCATCCAGCTGTGATGGCCCTGCATCGCGCCGCCCTAGCGCCCGCCGCCCGCCTCGTTGCCCAGTGGTATGACCGCCTCACCCCAGACCAGCACTATCTTCTGGCCTTTGTCAAACCCATGTGGGAGGTTTGGATTGGAACCAACTATTACGTCTACCCCAATGCCACCCGCTACGTCAACCAACCTGCCAGTGCCGATCCTACAGGAGGGGTGGCTGACGCTGTGCAGGTCGGCTTTGCCGCCATCTGCTCCCGCTTCAACCGCTGCAGCGGACCACCGCCCACCACCGCCGAACTCGACGTGATTGTGCGAGAATATGGGCATGCCCTAGCCACGGTCTTCACCGAGGCCGGTCTGCCGGCATTTAAGCTGATGGGCCACAATGGCGTCAACTGGCCCGAGCTGCCCCCATCGCAGCACAACGTCACCTTCAATTCGGCCTGGGCGGGCCTTAACAATGTCACCTACCCCGGGTTCTCTTTCTACCACGCCGCATACAATCCAGGCGCGGCCGCCCAGCACCTCGCTGATGTGCTGACAGCTAGCCCCCGCCCATGCTGGGGTGCAGCCGAATGGTACTACGAGGGCGGCAACACGGGCTCCCGCCAAGAACAGTGGTTCGCCGCCTTTAACAACACAATGCAAAACAACAACGTCCTTATTGACGTGTTCAACTGGGAGTCCTTCCACCGTGACCCCGATGCCGTGGCAGCCCTGAACCAGTTTCTGGCTCTGGCAGATTCGTCCGTTTGATTTGCGTTTGAGAACAACAACCCCTGATATGACGACAGCTCGCGCTACAAAAGGCTAGCTTTGGGGCCAGGGGTGTTCTAAAAAGGCTGCCGCAAGGCTCGTCGAGGATGCAGTCGAGCCGTGGCGCCGCTTGTGTGCCGGTGACTTGTCACGGCCGTACATGAGGCTTCACCAGCTCTTTTTCGAGAATTTCGCTCGAGATTTCCATAATTAATTTAATATTTTTGGTTACGCATGAGATTGACTGTTAGAAACAAACAGTCTTGATCAAGGGCAAATGGAGGGGACGGTGACCAGCGAAACAACAAAGCCCAGCCAATAGGCGAATACACACCTGCAGCACAGGGTAGAGCGAGCCTCACGTGCTGTTGATGGCTGCCATTTCATTCCTTTCGGGTCATGCAAAACTCGAAGAAATTGACTGTTTTTCATGTTTCCGCGTCTCTCTCTATCTTTTTGCTCTCATCTCACCTTCTCTCAATTTCATGACAAAATCAAGCCTGAATGAGTTAATAAGTAACAAAAATGGCCAGCATCTCTGCCCCTCGACCTTTCGTTCGATGATTCTCTCAACACGAGAGAGAGAGAGAGAGAGAGAGAGAGAGAGATTTGCTCCTGAGACTGCTGCTGTTCGACTGCCGAGTTCTGGCGCTCAGCGTGGTGATTGCATTCTCTGGCCCATTGGCTTTGCGGTTGTTGGTTGGAGGGTGGAGTGGAGAAGTGGATGGGTTGGGTGCGGTGCTGGCGGATGTGGTGGGGGCATGGCGGAGGTGGCGGTTGCAGATGATGGCCCTGCGCATGAAGGTGGGGTGGAGGCGGACGAGAGTAGCATGGCTGCGGGACAGGTCGCCGGGTTGATGTCACCAGCACCCGAGAATGCCACTGGCCCGACGAGCCTCGAGGCTTCATTGGCTGGCGCCGACGCAACGCACGCCGTCCCAGACGGTCAGAGCCCGAGCCCTGATCGGCAACTCGGCGAGCACCCCACAGATTCGGACTCAAATACCAATGTTTCAACTTGCGCCGGCAATGAAGACGATGGGTGTTGCAATGCCAGTCATCGTTCTGGAGATGTGGGAAGCATTGGTGATGAGGTGGGTAGGCCCAGCAACGTGGGGAGCGAGCTCTGTGGTGGCAATGGCGCCTGCAGCGAGGCGACCTCGGCATCTCATGCAGCGCACGACCACCACGACCATGATGCCAGTGTCGAGCCCTGTTGTGACGCGAACGCGGTTCCTCATGCGTGTGAACAGCAGGCCCTGCCTGCATCGCCTGCGTCCAGCAGCAGGTCAAGCCGTAGCGGGTCTAGTTGTAGCGACAGCAGCAGCGGCGACAGCAGCAGCGGCGACAGCAGCAGCAGCAGCAGCAGTGGCAGCCGAGCTGCATCGCCTGAAGCGGCTAGGCCACCCCGGCCCACCTTTCGCAAGGTTAATCGGAGTGGCAATACCATCTACGTTGGAAATATCGATCCACAATGCACCGACGAGCTGCTTTTTGAGTTAGGATTACAGGCTGGGCCCGTTCTGAACGCTGCCATCGCTGGCAATCCCAACGGCGATAAACTCTCCTTTGGATTCATTGAATATAAGCGAGCCACCAGCACCGCCTTTGCCATTGCTCTCCTGGACGGTCTTCGCCTTTTTGGACGAACGCTCAACGTGAAGGCCGGAGCTCGTCGCGGCGTAGCCACCGGCGAGTCGATGCCACCCCTTCGTGCCCCCATCCCACCCCAACCTCCGGGGCCCGCAGCCCTCGAGCGGCTGCGGCAGCCCCGACGAGGCCTCTTTTCCCCGCCCTGGCCAGCAAGAGGGCCCGATCAAAGGCACCCAGTCTGGCCTGGACCAGGGGCTCCCTATTTTGGCTCACCTCACGCGTCATACCCTGCGCCACCACCGCCACCGCCACCGCCACCAGCCCCATCCGGCGAACACACAGCCCCTCCGCACCATGCAGCTGCGTGGTCTCACACAGGACCTGCGGCATACCCGTTGCCATCCTCACAGCCACCGCTGACCAGATCAATCCGTTCGATGCCACCCCTGCCAGCACATGCGACTGCGCAGTCAGACTGGCCGCCTACAACAAATACCCGCGAACGTTACGAATACCCTCCTATCCCACCACGGGCATCCTCATTTGCTGATACGCAGTCATCGCGGTCTTACTGGGACCGCGACCACGATGCCCCCTCCTCAAAACGCGTGGCTTATGATACAGGCATTGGTACGCTCGATGGTTTGCTTAGCCCGCGGAAACGGTTACCATCTGGCTTTCACGGTCCTTCTCTGACACACTTGGCTGTATTCTGCTTTTGTGTGACAGGTCCTTCGGGCTACTCGATGCCACCGCCCGTGCATGCGCCCAGGTAGGTTCATTGTGGTCCTGCCTCCTGCCTCAAGCTGACCAGATACATCTCATCTATGCCATCGTGCTGGGGTTTGTTTGCTGTAGATGGGAGCGCCCCGCTTACTTTGATCCACCACGAGCACGGCCAGTGCCCTACGACCACGGTTACCGGCGCTATTCTCCCCCGCCTAACCCGTCCAAGTATCAAGATTATGAGGCGGCGGCACGGCGCTATGCCAGTGCGAGTCACGAGACAAAGCTACAGGAGCGCAGTTACTATGCTTCAGAGCCATGGCGCCCGGACCGTCGGCCCGTGGTTCCACCACCCCCCGCAGGCACATCATCAACCTTTGCTCCCCCTCAGCCTCCCCCGCAGCGAGCTTGGGAACCTCCATCGGTGCGGGGCTTTGACAATCCTGTTGCGTCTATTCCGCCTCAAGGCGGTCAGCAGTATGAATGGCTTCAGCCCGACTCAAATTCAACCATGGCTGCCAGGGGTTATTCTACTGGACCTGTGTTTGGAGAATCGCCTGCAACGAGTTCTACGGCAAGCTCACAAAGACTGAGTACTTGGCTGCGCCAAGGTGGACGATGAAGGCGTTGCTTTGACTGAAGGGAGGTGACGCCAGCGATTTGAATTGAACAGCTTTGCTGGAAAATGTTGCTGGGTCTCCAGAGGGGACAGCGTCCAAGACACGGGATGGACGAGGTAGATCAGCAGGGCACAAGACAAACAGGGGGAGGGAGAGGAGGGGCAAGGACTACATAGGACACAGGCCGGGGGTCATGGCGACATGGCGAAACCGATCATGGCGAACCCAGCTCAGCTGGACGCTGCAGTCGGACGCTTGGCGTTGTTCCTGGGACCCTTTGGGCCGGCGCCGGCACCAGCGGGCCGCTTTTGCACCTTGCTTTTCAATTTTTGAATCTTGGCCTTGCGCTTTTCCGACTGTTAGCAGGTGTGGTATATGGTATGGGTGGAGCAGGATGCGGTTGTGAGCTTGAGCGTATGATACAACCAGCGTCGTTTTAAGGCGCGTACCTTGCCACCACCGCCCGCTGTGGGTTCGACATTAATTTTTCGCCCCTTGAGCTTGCTAAGATGGTAGCTCAATGCTTTCTGCAATCAGGCAACGGGGTAGGCGGGGGGCCAATGACCATGAGCCTTGCACCACGTATTTGCTGCCTTTCCAGAGAGGTTAAAGCCAACGCACCTCGTGGCCAGAAGCCGTTTCAAATTCTGCAAAGGCGCAACCGCGCGGCTGATCTGTACCCTTTTTCTTGAGCAGGCGCACGACGCAAGGGCCACAGCTTTTGAAATGTTGGGTCACTTCCTCGGCCGTGGTGTCGTAGCTCAGGTTGCCGATAAAGACGATGTACAGCTTGCGCCCAGCTGCGGCAGCAGCGTCAGAGCCAGCCTTGGCACCCTTCTTGCCGGTCTGGGTCGTGGTGGTAGCGGGGGTTGCATCCTCGGTATCAGGTTTGGCCTTGGCCTTGTTGTCGGTTGATTGCTTCTCTGGGAGATTCGCAGGGGGCGCTTGCCCCTTGGCCTTTTTAGAGGCGGGTGCGGCCTTGGGGCCTTTTTTCACGGGCTTGCCGGCCTTGGATGCTGCGGGCGTCGCAGGTTTGCCACGCTTGGCGGGCGGCTCTGTTTGGGGTTCAGCTACAGCAGTGCTAGCAGTGCTTGGATTTTTCCGCCGGAAACCGCCGCCGATCGGTCCATCGCCATCATGTGGCATCTTCTCGTTGTGTGAGTGCGCGCCTCGCTTGCGCGTCACAGCTCTTCCTACAAAACAATGAAGCAAGAAGCTTCTTGAGTGCTTCACAGAGAGAAAGGGAGAAAAAGACAGCAAGAGCTGAGGTGCATACACATACCCAACGAGCGTACCAGCACAGGCAGCCAATATCCTCAAACTACCACGGCAGTCCAGCCAGAACCAGAACCAGAACCAGAGCAGAGCAGGGCGTATGCGGTCGTGACCAGCAAATGGAAAAATCCGGAAATCGGTCGCGCACATGGTCGCTATGCGTGTGTGTGTGTGAGAGAGAGAGAGAGCGATAGAGAGAGAGAGAGAGAGAGAGAGAGAGAGAGAGAGAGAGAGAGAGAGAGAGAGAGAGAGAGAGAGAGAGAGAGAGAGAGAGAGAGAGAGAGAGAGAGAGAGAATGCCAGAATCGTCTGACAATTTATATCGTCTGACAAAAGAGAGAAAAGAAAGTTTAAAGGACAAGAAGAGAGATCAATGCTGTAGTAGAGTGAAAGTTACCACAAGTAAGGGTTGTAAAGAAGAGGGTCAAGTGCTCATGCACGCACTGCCATAGCTCAATGGGCGTGCGAGGTCATGCGAATCAGGTCGGCCAGCGCCTGGCTGAAGTCCTCGATGTTGCCGGTCTATAGCAAGCACGCGGTTTGGGCCAAGCATACAAGCAGGCGGCCTGCTGCTCCCTGAACACAAAACAGACAAGAGGACGCTTTGCAACGTGTTTTCCAAACGTGAGCGAGAAAGTGATCAGATGTCCGGCAGTCCTCTGCTTCTGGCTTCATTCATGGCAATCTCAGGCCCTTCTGGCCGAGGTTGGTTCCGTGGCGTTACGATGCCGGTTGTCAAAAGGTCGTGGGGGCTGTTCGTATATCATAATGAATGAATAACCAGATATTATAATTTCGATTCACGAGCACTGCACGCATCCAGTTCCAGCAGCATCAAAGCATCAAGGCATGGAACAACACAGTGCGACTTGGGATCATTCATTTTCCTATATGGCCTATGACGCTTGCTTTAGAGGACCTTGACTTGTTGAATGCCATGGCTTCCGTTGACGGAGAAGGAGTAGACTTGCTGAGGCACAAGCTTGCCGACGGCGGTCTTGGGGGTGGTGGTGGCCTTGGTGTTGTCAAACTGACCATTGGTCAGGCGAAGCACGGCGGAAAAGCCAAAGAGGCTCGAGGCGGCGTCCTCGATGCTGCGGGTCTCCTCAACATTCACAGGCACCCACTGGGTCGTGGCGCGGCGGCGAAAGTAAACGGTCGTCGAAGGCATGGTGAAGGTGATCAACGGCGGCACGCGTGAGGGCGGCTAATCGTTCCGAATGCGAGAGGTAGAAAAATGCTCGACCATCGCCTCGGGCATCACGTTGTTTGTGGCACAAGTCACGAGTTTTTGCTGCAATTGACCCTCAAGACGCACTGACATTGCACCAATTGCCATGCGTCCCCTCGTGCCCCTTCATCGTACCCTTGTGCTTTGCGTGGTAAGCTGTGAGGTGACATGGGAGTCGTGTGTTCCGCTGCTGCTGCGCGTCGTCCACATGCGAGAGAAGATGCACGCACCACATGTATCGAAAAAAAAAATTGCTGAAGTCGATGACCCGATTGTCACGGTTGAGTGCAATTGTCATCATATCAAAGTGTGACTATAAATACACTATACAACTTCAAAGTGTGTAGAATATTACTGTTAAGATACTATGGCGCAATTATGGCGCAAGCAGAGCATGACACGAGCAGACCACTTGAAGGATGTGGCCATCGATCAGTCTCGTGTGCGCAGGGAAGGTGGACAATGCCATGGTTTGAAGGTCATGGGAGAGTGTGTGCTATTGCCCCGCGTCCAGAAAGGAGACTGACTCAGAGAGCGGCTCAGATTCCAGGGGGAGCAGCGGGGGCGACAACTCCTGTTCATGGCACAAATGAGCTCGCAACGGCCAGCTCTTGAAGCACGAGCAAACAACGCAGCTGTCATCATTGCAAATGAAGTATCAAAGCTGGCGCGCTGAGCACAGCTAAAACCGGCGTCATGATCATGCGTGTCCTCTCATACCGATAATATCCGGATGTCTATGGATGTTAATTATCTTCCTAACACATCCCTCGCACGAACGGTGTGTTTTGATTTTCAACAAGATCAACGATTCCTAGATCCGCAAGTTGCCTCTCCGGGTCACTGTCTGCACATTTCATGTCACCATGCCCCGATAAAAAAATCAACCATCTCACGTTGGGACAGAAGTCACCGTCACTGGAACGGTCATTTCGGTAGACGCAATACATAGCTGATTCGAACGCCGGGACACGTAAATCTAATTGCCGTCGCGTTTCAAAGGACAGCTGCTGTACTTGTCGCCTTCTGGCGGGAGCACCTCTTGATTCACATCTTTACATCGCGTTCAACGAGCTGATGTCCCTGTGCGGGACCGTCACGCACGACGCCAGTGCAGGATATGAGTTACCGACTAAAGTTGTTGCGATACTTACAGACTCTTTGTCAGCATTTTTATGCTCTCCTCCGAAAACAACAAAAAAAAACTGAATTTTTGGTTTTTTTCTCGTTTTTTTATTGTGATCGCGAGGCAGCAGCGGGCGACGCGGTGGCGATTCGGAGACAGATAGGCGGGGAAGGACAGGCAGGTAGAGGTGGGTTAGGTGGGTCAGGTTGAGGTACAGTGGCCAGGGAGGCAGTGGGGCGTTGTTTGTTCAAGAAAAGGGCTGGGGGAGAGCGATCGGCTGGTCAACTCGGCAAGATGGCGGGGGCAGGCGATGAAGCGGGGGGCGGCATGTCAGCGATGCAGATGCTGTATTGCTTCTTTGTCTCCATCGCCACGATCCTGGGCACTGGCATTCTGGCATTGCCTGTCAAGCTGTACGAGACTGGATTCAAGCCCTTCATGCTCACCTTCACGCTCACGCTGGTGGTGCAGACCGCCACCGTCTTCCTCATGGCCGAGGTCTTGCAGCGGGCGTCCTTGATCCTCCAGCAGCGACGCTCGCACGATCGAGACACGAAAAAGCTTTTACCTGCGGCGCAAGGCCACCAAGTGGCCCCAGCTGCCAGTGCTAGCGACGATGACGAGGACAATGAGGGCTCCGCGAGTGCCGCTGCCAGGCGACACAAGGGCACACAAAACGAGGACCAGGCTGACGACATTCGCGTTGAGGTTCGGGACCGGAGCCATCCTGATGACCAACCGGGCGCCCCGAGCCTGCATGCCTTGGCTACCATCTATTTGGATGGTCTCGGTGCTCGAATTTTCACTGGCTCCGCCATTGTGCACTTTCTCTCCATCCTCGTCAGCTACGCCCTGGCTTGGTCCAAAGCTTTTTGCTCCATGGTCAACTGCCAACCAACCGCGGTCATTGCACCCTTTGTCATCTTCTTCAGCACGGGCATCATCATCTTTAACCGCCAGCTTCAACCCCTCATCACGGCTCTCACCTTTTTCAAATGCGTCATGCTCATCGTCATGGTGGCGGTATGAGCAGTCTCGTCTCATCCATCACCACTCGAATGCGTGCATCTTACGCCTCCCGTGTGCCTGCCATAGGTCGTCGGCTACGTCGGCTCTCAAACCTCCACAGCCCCAACAGCGGATTGGGCAGCTACGGGGACGCCCTTTTTGATTGGTACGCTTCCTCTTCTCATGATCCACGGGATCCCCCTCTCTTCCATCGCCCTCTGAGCCTGTCAAACCTGCTCACGGCCGGTCCCGGTCCGTCTTCGCTCGGTACCGTGGCATGTCCCGCCAACGTCATGTAGGCACGCTGGCGCTGGGGGGCGTGGTCAACGTCATGCCTGTCCTCTACGATGGCATCCCAAAGTCGCGCCTTGCTCTCAATCAGTTTCAATGGAGCGTCGCCGCCGGTGTTGTGGCGTGCTGGGTGATGAATGTGCTCTGGGCTTTCTTCATTCTCCAGATCGTTCCCCAGGCCGGTACCGGTCCCTGCCATCAACAAAGCCCTGGTGGCAACATCACCCTGACTTGTGCCAACGACAACGACGAGATCAGCACCCAGCCCATTGTTGATATCATGCAGCGCTCCTACCACCACCTGCTCTGGCTGGCCCAGCTTGTGGCTTCCTTCATCTTGCTGTCCATCACGTAAGTTCAGATTGCACAACGTGATCAAGTATCCTTTGCTGCTCCCGGTTCACTCTCATTAGCTCCGCTGCGCCGTTTTGCTTGCCTTGGCGGCTTATGCACACCCTTGCAATGGGCCGATGTGCCACACCAGCGTGTCGTATCTCACGCTGGGCAACGCCATGAAGCACATGTTGGATGGATTCAGCCGCGCGCACGATCCAATTTCAGCCATTGGCGCGGGCACATGCGCGGGGCGTCTTTGGGGACGATTGCCCCTTGGCATGCAGAACGAATTTTTCCAACGCATTTTGCTCTACATTGCGTGCTTTGCGTTTATCATGCTCGTGGCCCTTCTCAATCCTCAAAGCTTTCTGCTGGTTCTCGAAGTGTTCACTTCTCTTGCCCTCAACATTGAAGCTGGCATTGGCATTGCCGTCATCTACTTTCTGGCGCGCTACCGAGCCCACGCCCGCCACGTGAGTGCACCAACCAATTCTGCGCGTACTTTGCTGTGCTATGGCCTTGCACAGCTGATACAGCCGGGTCATCCGCGTGCAGGACACGATTGCGCTGCCACTCCCGAGTTGGGTCTCTCCCATCTGGATCGTAACTGCATTTTATTTTCTGGTCTCTGGTGGGTGAGCGCCCAACCCTGGCTTGCACGAGCAACTACCTCAGCGCGGGTAACAAAGCCTTCTCACGCGCTCCTGCCTTTCAATGTGACCACAGTGTACTACGATCTTATTACAGCTGCGCGAGACAAGCTGGGTGGGACGGCAGCGGGGGTAGTTGGCGCTCTTTTGGCCGTTGTTAGTTTGGGGATGGCTGTGCGTTACTGGCGGAAATGGCCCGACTTTCAGCTCCAAGCTAGCTACGCGGTACAGACGCTACCGGCAGACGGCTACTTTTGGGACTCGAGTGACACGGACGAGGAGGCCGATGATGTTGTTTATGCACACCCACTTGACGAGCGCGGAACGTCCATGTGAGGCCGTGGTCCAGTATCAGGGTGACAGCCGGAACCATGTTCCACTGTATATGAGGTTTCTCCTCAGAAGGATGGATCATCGAATTTTTAGCCATTAGAATTTTGCGTCTGAGGAAGGTGTGTTGCAAAGTTGAACAAATGATTATGTGGTTACGCCTCGGCCGCGGCCTCAGTGGCATCTGCCGCCCTGTCAGCAAAAGGACACAAAACAAAAACAAAAACGAAAAACCAAACAAACAAACAGCGTTCAGTTGTTCGGCAAAGTTCAAGAGTTGGGGCGGTTAACAACTGGGCGAGACCTAAGCAAGGATATGATCACTTACCGTTCCGACTTGAGCATATCCTTGATATGCAAGGGCGGGCAGCGCTTGGCAGCTACTTCAGCCGCCACCATGCTGCGCAGCATCTTGCGAGCCTGCAATGCATCGCGTCGCATTCAGTTGTCACAGAAGGAAGGGGGTATGAAGGGTGAGTTGGCCAAACATGCCATTGGTCTCTTAGAGGAAGAGAACCACAGATGATGCCGCCAGCAACTGGCGGGAGCACACAATGCGGCGGGGGTTGTGTCTATTCCACGCATCGGGCCGCACCTCCTGGTTGTCTGATAGACAAACTTGGTGCACCAATGATTGAATGGCCTATGCGAGAATCGCAGGGGGTGAGCGAGGGGGATAGCCGTATATAAGAGAGAGAAAAGAATACAAAAATAGAAAAAGCTAAAAAAAAGGAGGAATCAAGCTGGAGCCGTAAGCTTACAGCGCCTGGAATCTGCGGAAGACTGGCTTGCTGGCTCACGAAGGATTTGACAGCACCCGTAAGATCACCGTTGACAGCCATAAATACTGTTTCAAGGGTCAGCTTGAGCTGAGGGTATGAAAGGTCGAGCGCCAAGGCGATGAGGTACTGAGAGGCAATGGCACTTTGGGTTGCAAAGCAAGAAAAAAGCATTTGCGTACGGCAGGAGCGAGGCCGGCGTCATCCTTGATGGCCTGATACACATCTTGCGCCTTCTGGTTGTGAAAGTCGCGGAGCAGCGCCAGGCTGTAGAGGGCCCGGGCATCAGCGCTCAGAGGAGTCTTGTCCTCCAAGCCAGCCGCTGCATAGGTGCAAGCCTAGGTGATAGGTAATTTAGGGGCGTTTGAGTGTGCAGGAGCGAGCTCGAAGAAGAGCCTTGCCTTGAACGACACGACAATAGGCATAGGCAGGGGAATGAGAAGAACAAGTAAGATCTAGCGACCTACCAGGCGAGTGTATTGCCGAGAGGGCAGTGAGAGGGCAGCGTGCAACATGAGTTCGTAGCTGGTGCTATCAGGAAGCTCATCGCGGTCGCAGACCATTTGCTCAAACGCCTTGACCACGTCTGAGGGTGCAACCAAACAAGTGCCGCGGTCAGCATCTGCTCAGCTGGAGACATGGGTGACAAGGTAGCCACGGGATGACATCATGGCCGGGGCACGCACTCTTAAAGTCAGGAAGTTGCAGGTTGGCAGTCATGAGCGCATGATAGGCTGCACGTGACGGAAAGAGGCCAATGGCCCGCTTGTTTTGAATCATGCTCAAAATCTTGCGTGGCTTTTTTGGGGTTCAAAGACGAGCCAGAAAGTGAACAAGCAGGCATGCGTGTGTAAGCCGGACCAAAGGCGTGAGTTGGTAGGTATGCAGCCACGCTTGGCCATGAGTTATGGAGCAACCTCGGGTACCGGCCACACCTCGCCATGCTCGATATATTTGCTAACAACAGCGTCGGAAATGCTTGCATCAATGTTGGAACTGAAAGCACGGAACCTGTTCAAAGCAGCATGTTGTGAGTCTGGTGCTGCGTGCGGGTGTGCCGCAGAAGGCACGATCCAGCGCGCGTCGGAGAGCGTTTGGGTGCTTGCTTACACGCGCAGAGCTTCGCGCACATGCTTGAGGTCGTCCTTGTTCTCCACAGCGTTGACCACGTCGAGCAGGCTTTGCGTTTTGGGCGGGTTGCTAAAGAGGAACCGATCGGACAAGCTTTCAACGACCTCCGCAGCGCCTGCGACGCACGATTATGGACCGAAAGACGGAAACGGAACGCGAGCGGTGAGCATGTGGTGCTGCAGAGGTCTGGAATCAGGCACGACGCATCCCCAAAAGAGTAAGGGGAGGAAAGGTGTCCACAGGCTGCGCATACTTGTCGAGTTTTGTCGAAGTGCCACCGATAGCACACCCATGCGTGTCCAAGCCGGTCCAGCGATGGCGGCTACCGGCAGGGACCGACCCGCTGCCATCCGACGGAGCAGAGCTGAGGTCGCCATGATGTGCGGGTGTGCTGTAAAACTACTGTTCACAACACCTCTATCCAGATATCTTCACTGCCTTCGTCAAATGAAAACCGGTTGGCGTTTTTCAGGGGCCGGCCGCTACCATGAGTACATCGGTCAAGTCAAAAACTATCGACAACAGCTGTTTACAATATCGTAACAGCTGTTGTCTTACATTCACGGCCCTTTCGAGCTGACTCGTCTCATCTCTGAATTTCCCTTGCGTTCCAGTCAATTGTTTTTCACGGTACGTGGCCCCTCTCTGATCTGCTGATCGAAAATGGCAGCCGGCTGTCCGGTCCCGCGCCGGATCAGATCAACGTGGTCGTTGCCGAAGCGCTGAAGTTATATGCGTATACACTTGCATGTATATCCGATGGGGCATGGCCAAGGGTTTCAGGGCGAGTGACTGAATTCATCAAACCTGCTCAAGGGGCGGATCAAACGCTGCAAGGCGTCGGATGCTGAGCTGTGATGAGGCGCTGCCTGTGTGTGTGTGTGTGTGTGTGTGTGTGAAGCCGGGGTTGCGACTCGACCTTGTAACTTGATTGTCATGTCAAGTGTCCCGGGGCAGAGCTGTGCCGCAGCACGGCATTGGTGCTCATGTTGTTTTCGTTTTTGACCGGCGGTTCATACGTCTTGACAAATTTAGCAGGATTACGCCGGAGCGCCTCGCTCCGATCGTCTCCCGCCATGCAGTTTTGGTGGCAGCAAGGCCTGACCTTCAGGCAGTGGTTTGTCAACGATGGCCCCATGTATACCTTCGTGGTGCGTTCCATTGTCATTTCCACCCCTGCACTGCCTGCGTGCCTCCGTCCGATCTGCGTTGTATGCACCTCAATACTTTTATGGTGCACGGGAACTTTAGCTGCTATGGATGTGCGCAAATGTCGGCCTCTTCTTTTACACGTTCAGCTTCTACACTCAAGACAAGTACAACTATCTGCGCCGCATTGTGCATGTACGGTTTGCTTGCGTTGCTCTGATCATCTCCTCTCGTCTTGTCGCTGACAGCTCACTTCCCCATTCTCGTTTCGCGCCCTTCTGGGCTGGCTCTTGCAGTTTGGTCTACCGGTGGCTCGCGGTGCTGCCTCGGTCCTGAACTTGAATTGCGCTCTTGTCCTTCTTCCCGTTTGTCGAAACCTTGTCAACTTTTGCCGTGGCATTTTTGAGGTGAGTCCATTTTCCGTTGCTCTACAAAATACAACGACTTCCTCCCCGTCGTCTCCTTCGTACTCCACAGCACGCCCACTCGCTTCATCGTCTACCATTCTCGCGCTTGTCTCGCCTTCTGCCGACGACCACTTTTGTCATCACATGGGTCAATAGTCAAAGCGCTCCATCCGACGCCTCTTTGACAAGAACATTTTGTTCCACAAGTGGTGTGCCTACGTCATTTGCGTCTTTGCCAGTGCGTGCCTTGCGTGCCACCCGACAAGAATTTGCATTGGCCATGCAGACTTGCGCGGCGATGGGCGGTGCTTACATCTGACCTGGTGAACTTGTGCAGGCATACACATCTGCGCGCACTTTTTTAACGTCAACAACTTGGTCGAGGACGGGACCTACGGCCGCATTCTGCGCGATGTGTGTTGGCCCATTGACAAAACTCGCATCAAACCTCCTTCCTGTCGACCGGCGTGGACCGGTGCACGACTGATCCCTCTCATTCGCTGTCCTTTTCCCGGAAACAGGGCACCCCCATGTCACAGGAAGAAGTGCTTTTCACGACGGTGGCTGGCGGAACCGGCGTAGGCATCACAGTTCCCCTCATTCTGATGGTGACCACGGCCTCGCAGCAAATTCGGTGGGTCTTTACAGCTCTGCAACGGGTATTCAGGTTTTTTCTTCTCTGCCAACCATCTCGCATGATCATGTTACACCTCATGTTTCATGTCACACGCAACCCTCATCCCCGTCAGCCGTTCCTATTTTGAACTTTTCTGGTATACACACCATCTCTTCGTCGTGTTCTACGTCTGCCTGTGCCTTCACGGCTACTCGGGTTTTGTGGAGCGTCAAGACAACCCTGATACGGTTAGAATTGCGCCCTTGTCTTGCCTTCCATGCCTCTTTGATTGTTGCGCGAGAATATATCTCACATCCACGACACCACCTCAGTACCCCATTTCTCTGGATCGGGGCGTTTGTACCAGCCGCGACGACGTCTTGGTGTCCAACGGTTGTGCCTGTACGTCATGCGAGCCTCGCCTGTTCTGCTACGCACAAGTTCACCTTATTCTCTTGAGCATCAAACCACTCTTCTCTCACCTTATCTTTTCCTGTTTGACCTTTTTTTTTTAATTTTTTTTAATATATTATGATTATTTTAAATCATGATAGCATGGAACGCGGTTGTGTCGGCCCTTGCTAACCAGAACTCCAGCTTAACTGAACCCAACCTCTGCATCCCGGGCGGCGTGGACGTCGGTGACGAGGAGGATGCGTTTTGCTGCCCGTGTCGCCTCGTCACGCAAGCCGTTTTGCAGCGAGGCCAGGCTGCCACGTGGGTGTGGGTCATTGGTCCCTTGATCCTCTACATCCTGGAACGCCTCTACCGCTGGTACAAGAGTCAAACTCGGCGCCTGCGCATTCTCAAGGTGGTTAAGCACAAGGACTCTGTTCCTGTCATGGAGATTCAATTCCAAAAAGTCCCCACCAAGGCTGGTCAATATGTCTTTATCAACTGCCCCAAGATTAACAGCCTTGAGGTATGCCGATATGTTTGCACACGATTCCATTGCCTTGTCCCGCAGAGCCCTTTTGTCTCCGCGTGTCGCCTCAAGCGCCGCGTATATTGGTGCCTTGTAACATCTGGACACTGCTGCATTGTCATCGACGCTTGTCATTTCATTCTCTAGTGGCACCCTATCACGCTCACTTCCTGCCCCGAGCTCGATTATGTTAGCGTGCACATTCGCCTCGTGGGCGATTGGACAAGTGAGTCTACCACTGGCTTTACTGGGTCTCCTGGAAGCTCAAGCGCCTGTTATTTAACCTTGACCATCGACCATGGTAGCCAAACTGGCCGACGCGTGTGGCTTTTACGAGGATAATCCAAAAGTTGGCAGCGAACTGCCTTACATCTGCATTGATGGCCCTTTTGGTACAGCGTCGTAAGTTTCTTCTATCAATGTTCCATCATGAGGAGCTATCAACTGGTCAATCAACAAGCATGCCGTAAATCGTAAAAGGCCACCTTCTTATCCGGTTCTGTCATGTCATGGTAGAGAGGACATGTACCACTATCCCGTTGCCATGCTAATTGGCGCTGGCATTGGCGTGACCCCCTTTGCATCTCTGCTGAAGGAGTTGTAGTACGTGCCACGTGCCTCGTCGTGCCGTGTATAGAGTCATGCGAGCAAATGTACTGCTTCTGACACTTGCGGCGGCTCCCCTTACGTAGCTTTCGCAAGAGCAATCCTTCGGCCTACCCATCTGTGAGTATCGCATTTGTTTGTGTTTGTTTGGTACTGCTCTGCTACTGCTGGTGCTCCTACTCACCTCGTCTTGACCATATACAGTTCAAAACGCAAAAGGTCTACTTTTATTGGATGTGTCCCGGCTTTGATGCCTGGGGTTGGTTTGCCAGCCTCCTGATTGTACGTATCTCGCCTCCAGCCACGGCATCATCCAACAAACGTACAACCAATTGCCCATCCACACCCGATCCAATCATTCCATACATTTTCGGGTGTTTTCAGGATCTTGAAGATAAGCTGGAGCAACTCGGAGTTCCCGACTTTTTGGAAATCCGTGTCTTCACAACTCGCGGCTGGAGTCAAGACGATGCGGCCAAGATCATGCTCCAGGAAGATGAGAGCGGTGACAGCATCGTTCGCGACGCCGAGGTTGGGATCATCTCCTGCGCCTTTTACATTGGGCTTGATTTTGAGTTGTGGCTGGCCGCCTTGACACACACCCACTTATGCTTTCATGTCTTCGTCTCCTGCCCTAGACGGGCCGAGCCCTTCGCCATAAGATGAACTTCGGCCGTCCGAATTGGGATTCTGAGTTCACATCCGTGGCCAACACGCATGCCGGCAACAACATTGGCCTATTTTTCTGTGGGCCCAAGGTCTTGTCGTCCCAGTTGCATGTAACGTGCAACAAGTTTACCAGCGAGCGCGCAGCTGAAGGCACCAAGTTTTATTACAACAAGGAAAACTTTTGAGCTGTTCGTGTTGACGGATCTTCATTCTTGCCCATAATGCATCCGAGCTGGCCTTGGCGCTGCGTCTTTTGTGGGGTTTCTTGAGCACTTTTTCGACCTGGTCTTTTGGTACTCTCGTTCGCTGTGGGGTTAGCAATTTTCGTTTCCCTCTCTTGAATTTAAAGCATGACTCACATGTCAAGTGGACATTTCAAATTTGCTGCCTCGACCTGTCTGCGTCGTTGTTCTTGCCATTTCCTTCCAACTCCGTTTTGACTTGAAGGAAAACGCGACCTCTTCAACCGCGAAATGTTGGTATGTGGCTACAGCCAAGCCAGGCATCGCCAGACAATCCACATCAAAGCTGCCGACAGCCAGACAGCCAGCAAGTGCCTTGATTCACAACTTCACGTCAATTGTTCATGCTCGGACGGCGCAATGTTCCTTGCCATGATTGTTGAGTCAATGTTCCACGCGTCAAGCCGCATGTATCCCATGTTTCCCGTGTTTGACTGCTCGCCAATAGGCAGTCACGAACAGCCATCGCGATCCCTCTGCACACCAAACACGCTGTTGCAAGTCAACAGCAAATGCTGACGCTGTCACTGACAGTGATCATGCGTACATTACAGATTGCCTCCATGCCTAGAAAGTCTGCGCGTTGCGGCATACACCACATCCCAAGGCAAACTCTTCACCAGTAGGAGGGTGCTTGACGTGCAACGGGCATTCATCACCTTCCAGTTGAGTGAGCACCGGCCCGCACTGTAAAACGTGTAGAGAGAAGCAAAGCATAATAACGAGGCGAGTCAGCCATGACAGCTACGCACTTCTTCAAGATGAGGGAAAAAAAAAAAAAAAAAAAAAAAAAAAAAAGGAAAAGAGAAAGAACGCAAAACAAACAAACAAACAAACAAACAAAAAACAAACAAACCCAGCAAAACAACAACACAGCAACACGTACAGGGCAATGTGGCAAATCTTCTTTGGGACATTCGGTGCAACGGCGATAGTCGTCATGGCACGTGTTGCAAAAGTGCGTCGTGCCAAAGCCTACAGCATATGCCATCATCAGCAAGGGTGCACGCTATCAAAACCAGCAAAGCGCGGTCGGCAGAGGGATTGACGCACAGAAAAAGACGGCCACTGAGCAGCAGTAGCGGCATTTGTACTCTAAAAAGTCTTCTCCATGCTTGGCGCAGATCTGATCATGAACGCAGTGCGGGTGTGCATGAGAGACATTGATAGTGACATTGATAGGGCACGCGTGCACACGCAGGTTGTGAAACGCGATGCAAGACAGTTTCAGGCTTGCCCTTACTTGTTGAGCCGCACCCCCGCCCACGCACAGTGGGCAAATCAACTCGCTAGGGTCATATTCAGCAGCTCCTCGCCCAGCCTCGCAGGCCGCATCGCCACCAAAATAGGGCTGCTTGCATTTGTAGCACGGGAAGTAGGCGTACTGCACACACAGTCACACCGCGTACAAAGCCAATACAGGCCGGATCAGAAATCGAATCCAGTGGCAGCCGACGAACCCCGTCGAACATTATTGAGACCCACAAAGGGCCGAGAAAAGCTAGCAACAACAACAGCAACAACAACAACAATGCATACGCCCTGCCCCCAAGAATAATAATAATCATAATAATAATAATAATAATAATAATAAAAAAAAGTGACAAAAGCCAACTCCACGGAACGACGCACCTTTTCCATAGCGAAATCAGCCTGTGTGCTCTCATCACCACCGACGGCTTCCGCTTTGCCATCGTACTGCAGGCGCATTAGCGCCTTGCGGCGCACCATCTCGTGCAGTTTGCGCAGAGGCACCAAAAGTTCTTCCAGTGCCGGCTGCTGTGTTTGCAATAGCGATGCTTTGCAGATTGGACACTTGCAAAAGCCAAAGGTGATGCGCGGACCATTCCAGCGAATCTCCAGCAGTCGTTTCAGGCAGTTGGCATGAAACACGTGACCACAGTCAACCTACAAATGGAAGGAAGAAACGAAGGCACAGTGAGCAATCGCAAAGTCAGTTGTCAACCGCGCGTGCATGACTCTTTCTCATCAGTATGAACATTGACGAGGGACATTGAGAGGCTGCCCCCGCTCCCTCGCCTGTCTGTAGCAACGAGCAACCCGATGAAAGCAAAATATGTTGGGTTGACGTACGCGCAGGCATGGTTCTTCCTGCAGTGAGGAAGTGAAGCAAATCATGCACTGATCCTCCTGGTCTTGTGTGAGCGGGTGCTCCAGGGACTCATTGTCACAGCCGTGCAAGCAAGGCAAGCACTGCTCCTCGTTGCGGACACCGCAACATGCGTGGCCACACGCCAGCGTTTTTGTGCAGCACGCACGGGCCAGCTCGATGCAATCCTTATCTGGGCAACAATTTTTGATGCCTGTGCTCATGGTTTGTGCCAAACCGCCATCGGGACCTAGAGGCGAGTCACAAAAGCGACACGTGGTCCCCGACGTGGCAGTGGCTTTAACCTCAATGACTGCCTTGAGTGAGACGCGGTCCGTCAGACACAGGAGGCGCGGGAGGCGAACACGCCCCGTGCCCTCGTTGAGCTCCACGTTGCTGGCAGCTTGCTGCGTTGTTAAACGTACGCGTACGTGATCACGCTTCGTGCGAGACAAATGCAGCACGTGGTCGCAGTCTGCACAGAAGCTGGCTTGGCACTCGCCGCATTTCACCAGCGCTGTCGTCTCGCCATCATCATGGTTATCACAGAATGATTTTCCGTCAGACTCGGGCGCGACCTTGGCGTTGAGCAAGGCCACAAGTTTGGTATCAATGCAAGCGAGAGCGCCGAGTGCAAGCCAGACGTCAAGGTTCTTGGCAGCCAAGACCGGGTCCTCAGAGGATTCGAACCTTGGCAGAATGTCGAGCAGCGCAGTCAGACACTCGTACGCATTTTCCTGCCACGCAACGCCCAGCTGGCCAGAAAGCATTTGGTCCAGCACCATAACGACGGCTGTGCCGTTCTCTTGCTCGAGCCGCCCAGTGAACCAGCGATAGAGGCTCTTGTCGCTCGGCGTTGCAACTGAGGCACGGAACGTCGTGGTCTCGTTCACCTTGCTTTGGCCGCCACGAACGCGCACCTGCACTGTAAGTGCCTTGGCTACGGCTAGGATAAGCAGTGGCACGAGTCCCTCCTGCTTGCTGGCCAGAGGTACGCGCGTAACCAGCGTAGCCATGGTAGTTGGCGGAACAACTTGAAGAAGGCGGCAGAGAATGTGCACAACTTGGCGTTGCACGCGAGGCGTACTGAGATGCAGCAGACCCACGAGGTCATTGATGAGCTCACGCTCTCGCGCAACGTTCTCAATGCCCGAGGCGGACGCGCTCAAGGACGCAACCATGTTGACAAGCTCGAAAAGATAGTCGTCATTGACGACGGCCACGCCCTCCTCTGCGTCTTCTGCGGCCCGAGAGATGGCTTCAGCTTGGTGACCAATTTCGTTGAAAAAGTGCTTGCATACCTGTTGTTGCAAGGTGTTGAGGCGCGCATCTTGATCAAAGAGCAGACCCACAACGTGTTGGCGCAGCTCGGGCGTATCGATGGCCTGATCGCCACCATCACCGTCCTTCTTCGGGTCGCCTTGCTTGGGATCGTCTGCCTCAGCCGGGGCTGGCGCATCACCTTCGACCGGCGGCTGGGCCGCACCGACCGATTGCCCACCCCCAAACAGCTGCAGGGTGAGCAAGCGGAACAAGGCCAGCGCATCGTTGCCACGAGCCTTGGCCTGTTCTGCCAGCGGTAAGCCGCCGCTGGTGCGCTGCGGTACACCCAACACCACGACTTGCCGCACGCGCGACTTGGTGCTGCCGCCAACCCGCACCACTAGGTTACTGGGCGGCGCGGGTAGGTTCGGCGGGACGGACAAGATCACCCAGCCAGCATGCGATTTGTCGAGCGACGACGCCTTGCCCCCAAGCACCGGTGCTGTTTTGGAGGTGTGCAAGGAAAGGGACAGGACGGCATTTTGAGCGTCCCGTACGTTGTCCACGTGCACGGCCACAGCAGTCGGCTCAAGTTCTGCGCAATCAATGGTGATTGTGCGCTCGCGATCATCATCACCCACTTCCCAAAACGTCTCGGTCGAGCCATCGGTTAGAGAGGCCAGCATGTGGTCACGCGAGGACACGGTGACGCGGTCCTTCAAACTCACCGACCCCGTGTGTGTCACAGAGAGATCGTCCAATGGCGTAGCAGCCATGCTGTTGGACGTGACCGAGTGTAACTTGGACATGATGTCGGATATATGTGAAAAGACGTGTGAACGGTGGAGGAACGAGTGGTCGCTGGCGCGGAATTGAATGGCCCAGCAGCGAAGGAAGAGCTCGTGAAGCGGGCTGGCCGCAGGCAGAGTCTGCATAAAGTCAAGAACGATGAGGAGGAATCGGTAGAACATTTGCGCCACATCACGCTCGAGTTGACTTTGCCCAAAGCCAGCTCCCGCCGGGTGCGGGGCAGCGGCCAATGAGCCATCTTGCTTGGTCGCATCGCCTTGTGCGTGAAGAGCGGCCACAAAAGTCCACATTGTCTGATGCAACGCATCCATAGTTCGGACATTGCACAGCAGCACGATGTAATGGCGCAGGCCCTGCAAGCGGTAGATCATGTGTTCTGCCGTCTGGGTCAGGTGCCCCAACACATTCTTGCCATGCACAGGTGACTGCCAGAAGGTCATCATGGTGCGCAGTAGCTCATCATTCTCGCGGCCCTGGTAGAGACTGCGCAGGCTGGCGGAGGGTCGGGTCAAGAGTGATGGTTGCGAGGCTCGGCGGCCCCGAGTCAAATCGTTTGCTCGTGGGCGCGAGACCGCAGGGCCCACCCCAGCACCAGCACCCTCCGAATGCTGCGGCATGGAGATGGTGCGTGTGAGAGCTGGGCGCGCGGTTGCCAAGAGGCTCTGCTTGAAAAGGTCACCGTCAGCCGCCTTGTCGCCTTCGCTGACGCGGTCCCGATCCAGTGGCTGAGCTGACTCCGCGGCGTGCACACCAGCCAGTGCCGTGTCCGCGGTGAGGGTACGTTGGGCCACAGCAGCAGCATGCGGGTGGTCATCGGCCACGGTTTGCTGGCGACGGATGGCCGCGCGGCGAGGAGTGGCCGCTGGGGACTGATGCGAATGCGTGCGATCCACGTGACCAGGGACGGGTTCAGGTGTTTCCAAAGTAGCGGGCCGACGCTCGGCCAGGCAGGTGGCGTACAGGCTGTTTTCACTGAAAAGCCCCTCGTCATCGCCGGCGTCGAGATGTGCAGCTGGTTTATGAACGTACGGTGCCACGGCCAAAAGCATGCGCGACTTGTCTTCAATAGCCTGAAGGACTTGGGTGTACGAGAACTGGCGCAGAAGGAGCTGATCGATGGAGTCATCTGCACTGACCGGCAGATCGGACTTGCTTTGGCTCCCGTCGTTTTGTTTCGAGTCCTTGGCCGCCAGGTAGTTGCTATGGCAGCTCTTGCACATGAGATACCAGGTCGATGCTTTTTGCGCTCCTATCCAAGGCGTGGCCCCGGCAATTGTGTCAGAGAACAAAAAGAAATTGTGGCCAAAATACGCAAGGGCAAAGAACAAAAACAAAGGAAGAAAGAGCGGCAGGTCAAGAAAAAGCATCTTGCATGAGTCATGGCGGCAGAGCACTAACCATCGCCGCAGTTGCCGGCCTGAGACGAATTGCCAAACAAAGCATGCAAGCCAACGGTCGACAGGCGTGAGGCTGGGCGCGAAGAGGACACAATTTCATGTTTGCATACAAACAGCTTCACCTACCCAGCCATCAACGTAGTTGCCCGAGCTGTTGTAGCCATAGCCGCCTGATGGGCCGCCACACCCGGGGTGCGCTTGGCGCATGTGAAAGGTGATGGGTGTTGGGTGATGCTCGTCGCACAAGTCACAGATTCCCGTGTCAGATTTCTTGCCAAATAGTGGGAAGGCGTCTTCTTTGCCCTTCTTGCCCTTCTTGCCCTTCTTTCCCTTCTTGCCCTTCTTGTCCTTTCTGTCATCAACTTGTTTCTTTTCAAGGGCAACGAGATCAACGTTTCGCTCTTCGGCCAGCTTGACGGCGTCGACGACAATAGGTTGGTTTTTGCGGAATTTCAGCTCAATGGCACCGTTGATGCCCTTGACCACAACCTTGAGCTGCAGCACCGAGTTGGCCGGAGCCGGTCCAAACAGCGCACGATAAGGGCTGGTGAGCTCAAGGTGACCATGTTCGTCAACGAAAAAGCTAATAATGTGCTTGACATCTTTGCAAAATTGTTGCTGATCCTCCGGGCCATATGTAGCCGACTCAATCTGAAGGCGAGAGTCCTCCAGCGAGGCCGCCGACAGCCGCTTGACCAGCATCTCGAGCCGCGCCTTCATTTGTTCCCACAATACCGTGAGATACTTGGGTACAGATGCTCGTGTTGGTTCAGGCGCACTGTCACCGGAATCCAGAGGATCATCGTGCTCGTCAGCCTGGGCATCCGGAACGGGGACACGCAAGCGAATCTGATCCATCTGGACCGTCAGAGTATCCCCATCCACGGTGCGGACGACCACGGTGGGCGCAGCAGGTACAGGCGGAGCCACGGGTTGCTCCTCGCGTTCAAAGAAGATGGACGTGCTCATGCAGTGGCTGCACAGGTCATAGTCACACCCGGCCATGCAGCGGTAGCGCAAACCCGGAGGTGGTCCTCCGAAAAGCCCTCGGCCTGGGCAGCCCATGCCAAAAGGTTGATTGGCACCATCGCAATTCCATCCAAACGCGTTCTCATGCTGTCGCAATGGATGTGGGTGCAGCGGATGAAAGAACGCGTGCTCAATATCATCGGCCTGTGAAACATTTCGCAGATTAGTGGACATGGTGAGAGCCCGCGGTTTTGGTCGCGTACTCGCACAAATAAACAAGACGAACGAAGCTAGAAGGTCTGAAACATGCGAGCAGCGTGTAGCCAGAGACGAGAGCCAAAGGTACCCGTGTCATACCTGACGCTTGGCGTCAATAAGTTGCTCATTGCTGGCGTGACAGAGCAGGCTGTATGGTACGTGTTGAAATTTGTTTTCCTTAAGATAGGCAGGCCACTTAAACCTTTACTCGTTGCAAGGCAGATCGACTGCAGTGAGCGACGTGGGCGTCCAAACGCGACAGCATCAAACGAGTCGCAGAGGCTACTTACTCGCCATCAAATCCGCGAGGCTTCTCGAGCTTGTGCTGCGTTAGCTGGCAAAAGCCGATGGGGTGCAGGTCCTCATTATCCAGCGAGGCAATGTAATCGTAGCGTTCGCCCCAGCCATCAAAGGACACCTAAGGGTAATTAACATGTAAAAAACAAGAAGGAAAAAAAAAAAAAAAAAAAAAAAAAAAAAAAAAATGATAGGTCAACATATCTACACCGGCGCAGGAGGAATAGCTGTTGGGACCTGTTCGTCTCCACGCAGAAGCTCAACTAACCTTGACCTTTCCATCTGGCAATATTTCCTTGATAAAGGCGACACCTAATGAGATTTCAAAGTGCAACGTGAGGTGAAGTGACAACCCTTAGCAGCCGGCCGCCAAGCAAAGAGAAGAAGAATGAAGAACCACAAAAGTAACGAAAACACACAGATCATAAAGGGGTTCAGGCGATCCTTGGCCTCGAGGCGCTGGCCGACGGCCAGCTCGACGTCGTTGATCTTCTGCGCCAAGACGGGGCACTGCACCTTTTGCACAAACCCGGGCAGCGTGCCACGGGCCCCATCGTCAGGTTGCACCCATACGAGAGCATCCTCACTCAGTTCATCGAGGCGCGGCGCAGCCGCCTCAAACGCCTGGTTACCCATTGTGCCACGGGTATCCGTTTTGACATTGGGGCGCTTGTAAGTGGGGTCAAAGCGAAGATGGGTGGCCAGGGCCATGGCATCCGAGGTTACATCACCGTGCCACAAATAAGCGGCAAAGGCAGCCCTGACAGTTCGCTCCAATGCTGCAGTCATGGGCGCGATTGCCACCTGGCTTTTGCCCTCAGCCGGGTCCAGGGGCATGGCCTCGGGCTGGATGGGCTTGGATGGCGCTGCGTCTTGATTCTTGGCGTTCTCGGACGCCTTCGCAGGCTCATCGACAGCGCGCAGGGCACCAACTGCGGGCACAGCCGCGGGTGCTTCAATTTTAAACTGAAACGGAGCAGCTGCAGCGGATTTTTTCTTTGGCTTGCGGCTCTTGTCGCTCTTGTCCTTGCCACGAGGGAGGCCAAAGGAGATGACACCAGCGCCGAGTGGCGCGCCGGCAGCGCCACCACCATCTTCTTCGTCATGAACGTCCTTAAACAGCGGAGCCGGAGCCGGCCAAGGCGCGAGGGCTCCATCGGCACCGGCCGCCGGTGCACCAAAGAGGCCACCAAAAGAATCGCCACCCCCACCGGCAGCAGCTTGGGCGCCAAAAAGACCAGGCCGAGCTGCGGCACCCCAGGCAGGCTGAACTTGAGCCTGGTTGCTGTCGGGACCGAAGGGGTTCCGGATACCATTGTTGGCAGCTGCAAAACCAAAGCCAGGAGATAGTGGCTCCTTGTCAGGCTCCGCCATCATCATATCCTCTACTTCCGTAATGACATCATCCGCGTCGTCGTCGTGCGCTTCAGTCAAAAAGATTGCATCGCCAGCCACGCCTCTCTGCATTTCAGGAACCCAGGCTTCCAGGTGATGCATCTCCTACGGGTAACACAGGCTCGTGAGCGTCATCGGAGCGCAAAGTTCGCCAAGGTCACCCTCTGAGATGTAGGAGTGCGCGACCATCGACCGCACCTCTGACACAAACTTGCGCACAGCGGACATGTTTAGTTGGATCCAATTGCCTTGCTCGTTGGAGCAGATCTTAATCGCCTCGAGCTTGAATCCCTTGATCAGTGTGCCCAACTGACGCCGTGTTCGAACAAGTACAGCCATGCAAAGAGCAGAGAGCGAGAAGGGGGTTGAGGTCTGTCCAGCTGTGAACTACCGTTTGTGTCGAGATGGAAAAGTGCGCAAAAGATCAAGTGGCCTCCGTTTCTGGATACTACGTACCTCCAAGGCTTCATCGTTGGCGCCGGCATAAATTGTGACGGGGCGCACCACACGATACTTGCTCGCAGTGGGCTTCATGGACACTTCATTTGCGTACTCTGGGTCGTCGGTGCGATCAGCCACAGCGTCTTCAGCTGACACCATTATCATTTCCCTGTTCGGCTCCACCTATGCCGAGTCCCCGCCCAAGCAAGGTGTGAGGCAAAAGCAAATACACGCAAATATGTTCCCGACGACCAAGATGTCATTGACCAACCTTGTAGCAGAAGGGGCTGCCTTCAATGTCAGTGCCATCGACGGTAACATGGACCAAGCAGGTGCCCAGATGCCGGGGAACAAATTTGACCTGGTATTTGGCCTCTTCCAAGAGTTCGGCGGAAGCCAGAAGCTCGCCGGACATCATGTGCTGCAGCCGTGCTTCTTCCGGTGAAAACGAAAGGTGCGAAAAAATGTTTTTGTAGCAGCAGCCGTCTTTCGTGACGGGGGCCGTCGAGTCCACAATCTCCGATAGCGTTTGACCACCCTCTTGCTCGGCCTCCGAGGCATCGGGATAGACAATGTGCACACCCACTCGGGTGAGCGGGTGGTGCAGCAATTCGCCGTGTTGATCGCGCGTGTGTACGATGAAATCGACCGGAGACCGAAAGCGAACGACTTTGCTTTCGGCAGTTGTGACAGAGGTTGAGCCTGCCTGGTCTCCAAAGTTGGCATGATCTTGGCGCGAGCACTGGGCAGCATCAATCGCGGGCCCTGCACGCAGCCAACGCGCTAAACGTGCACCGGAAGACTTGGGCGTGCAATCAACAAAATCGCGCAAAAACTGCTGTATTTGAGAATCACCGTTCACCTGCAAGGTTTGGGTCTCGAGAAATTTGGTCACGCTACTGGCGTCAACTTCCAACCCCATGCGAAATAGCGCCGCCTGCGAGGCCTTTTGAGCAGCCAAGGCGTTGATGTCCACTGACTCATCTCGGGCGTCTACGGTGGTGGGCAGCTCATGTCGAGCCAGCAGCATGTGGCGAGCGCAGCACGCCACCAAATAAGTTAATTCGCGCTCCAAAATGTGCAACACATTGTCCTGTACGGGTAAAGTGAGGCCCGTGGTGCGTAGGGCATAGCCAAAGTAGCCTGGGTTGGTGCGTCGATCAATGTGCTCCTAATGATGATGGCAGGGCGCGTGAGTGGCTAGGACCTACACACAGAGAAGCTTTAAAGCGCTGATCCGTACCTGGTAGCAGGTGGCCGATTGGAGACAAAGCCGAAGGCGACTGCCAGGCACCAAAAGCGTGTGGTCAGGCAGCGTCACAGTTGGGCCCTTGAGGCTGAGGAAAGGCAAAAAGTCGGCATTGCCCTGAGCCACCTCGACGGTCAGAACATCCTCAGCCTAAATAACGGGTAAGGTCAACAATAAGGCCAGTATGCCCGGCGAACGCAGTTGCGAAGAAACACTTTTGTGAGAAAAGCGCAAAGAGACAGGATAGGCAGGCAGACAAGCAGGCGAGACAAACAGGCGAGACAAGCAGGCGAGACAAGCAGGCGAGACAAGCAGGCGAGACAAGCAGGCGAGACAGAGAGACAGAGAAAGAGAGCGACAGCCCCACGAGCTTGGGAGCTGTGCAGGCAACGCTCAATCACCTGGAATAGACTCAAGCGTGGGTCGAAGGCCAATTGCATCATGGCCACCGACTCGGGGAAGCTCAAGGTCTCCATGTGCACTTCTCCTTCCAAATAAGGGTGCGCAGACTCGGCCATCAAGACTTGGGGTGTGGCTGCCTCCTACGCCCGGGGAAGACAAACGTTTGAGCGACGACAGTCGCGGTCAGCAAAGGCTAAAGCCTAGAGATGAGACCAACGTGCACGCACCGAGGTATCAGCCTGACCCATCTCAGCATGAAGTAGTTCCAAAAGCATCAGTGCATGGCGGTTCACTTTAAGTGCACTCTTGGGTGAGTTGGTATTCATAGCCACATGGGCCAACAACAGGGGGAGGCAAAACTCTCCCACAGCTCCACACAAGACCGAGCGAACGTCTCGTCCATTGGCCTGAAGCTGATTCCACAGGGCGGCCAATAGCAATTCGCTTGCTTCAGTTCCGGCGGCAGCAACGGTTCCTAATGAAGTTGGGTTGCTCGATGCGTGAGCTTGGACAAGCGGAAAAAGCAACGAGCGCAGGAAAAAAAAAAAAAAAACAAAAAAAAAAAAAAAAACAACAACAACAAAAAAAGGAAAGCACAAAACAAAAAAAGGGAAGCACAAAACAAAAAATCAAACACGAAAACCAAATCGCAACAAATGAAACAAAGCGGACGGCAAAGCAAGGCATGAGAACGAACCACCTCGAACGTTGCTGCTTGCCAGATAGGCACATATCAAACGCGTGAGCGATTGAGCAAGGCCAGGATTGCCGGTCGTAAAGATAAACTCGACGGCTGATTGTAGCAACTGCTCAAGATCTCCGAGGCCGGACTCAGGTCCGCTTGAACCAGAGGAGCCCAGAGTTTCGAGCGTCTGCATGAAATGCGCAAACGGAGAAAGCTGCACTTCTGCACTGGCATCGCTGCTGCCGTTGCGCACCTCGCCAGCAATCTATGTAGAAATGGGATCGAGGTGAAGTCTTCATCAGACAAGACATTGTTGACGCGCACACATCGTCACAATCACTGCGTCAACGCGGCGGTAACATACCCGGAAACCCGCAATGCGGCAATTGATGCCGTCAGCGGCAATGCACATGCGCACAATGCTGTAGCTCTCATCGACGTCCTGCAGGAGAGGGATGTCGTTACCTTGACGAGCAGTCTGGCAATCAATGACGACAATCTGTTCGAGATTATTCTCATCATCTCCAGCCTTGACCGTGACGGTCGACGGACGATATGAATCCATCGAAAAGCACTTCATGACAAGCTCAGAGATGTAAACATCAGGTTCAAGATTCAGCTGTATCCAGTGAGAACCGGCATCTCCGTTGCTCTCCCAGTATGATGCGTCATCAAGTTCCAAGTTGCTGGCTGTCGGCGAGTTGCTGGAGACCTTCAGCTTTTCATAAGCTTCCTTTCCCTCCACTGGCGTGACAACGGGGGCATTTTGAACGGCAGCACCCTCTTTCAAGGATGTGTCCGCGCTGGGAAATAGCCGATGGGTCGGAAACGTTGGCCTTGACATGGAGTCGAACACCACACGTGCAAATGACGCCTTGTCTGCATCGGCTTTGCGCAGCATTCCAAGCTGCTCGGCAAACAGACGTTGTTGTAGGGCCGGGGTTGGATGAAAGATTTGGAACAACTTGCTATAGGTTTCGCGAGCCTTTTGTACCAACGCAGAGTCGTCATGCTGCGCACCCCACGCAGCCCAACCGACATGGAAAAGAACAACGACAAAACAAAACAAAACCAAACAAAACAAAATCATGAGTTGACCACTGCTGCAAGGGTTACACGTTCTTGAGGCACCGTGCGCTCGTACCGTTGACAGCTGCAGCAACTGCTGCAGCACTCGTCGGTACTCAATGATGCTATGAGCTAGGTTCTCATCGTGGGCCTTCAGAGGCTCGGGGATCAAACAGCCGGCCGAATCTTTGGCAAAGTGTGCGTTCACAGTGCTGTCGAGAAGATCCAAACATTCGAGAGCAATAATAGTCAAACTGTCCTTGCCTGCCGATGCAGCAAGTCAAATTTTCACAACAAAGTACGTCAACAAGGAACCAGGGTGGTGAGATAAATAGTCGATCAGAGATTCTTGTTGACAAGTGACAGCGGGTGCTTGTTTTGCATACCGCCATGGGCATCGGCAGCAGGCGAAGCGCTGGAGCTGAGTTCGTAAGACCAGCGAAGCGTATCCAAAATGCTGGAAAGGCTGGCCATAGTGGGCGTGCGGCCAAATCGGGCGGGCAAGGAGTACAACTCGGGTCCATCGTTGGCAATGGCCTAATTATGTCGAATCAAAAAGGACAAAAATACAAGGCGAGCAGTGAGAGGCTTGGGAGGTGCGTGTGTGCGTGTGTTGATTTCAACACGTAGCACAAAGTTAACCAACACGTTCAGATGAACTTCTCACGGTCAGTTTGCTGTCCTTTACAGTGTTGTCTCCTTTCTGTTGATGCCTCCCATCCCCTTCTTGACATAGCAACGCACCTTGGTTTGGAGCATTTGTGAGGGGGTGACGAGCATGAGGGCTGGAAATTGACCCGAGCCAACGTCGGTGCCATTGTTGCAGTGTGTACTGGCTTGAAAAGTGACGGTCAAACCTTCTATCGCCACCGTGCTCTTGCCAGATGAACCGCAAGCGCTGCTGGCAGCGCTGCGAATCTTGACATACACCGCATAACGAGGACCGGCCTCAAGCTTCAGGGGCTCATCCAGAACATACGAGTAGTACTTTTCGCCGACCCCGAGCTCGTAATCAAAGTTTGACTCAAACAAAACGTTGCTCGTATCCTCCTCTGGGAACACCTTGAATTGAGCCGAAAACGTGCTGCCTTGACTGCCAAACAGACCAACTCCACACAAGTAGGCTTCGTCACTGCAAGTGAAGCTGATGGCATCGGGCGAACCTCCACCATAGCCCCAGCCTAACAGAAACAAAAACGAATCATGAATGAGATGAAAGAGTTACGGGGAGAAAGACAGTTTTTTTGAGCTTGTGCCAGCAACGATGCTTCACAAGGTCCCTTGCTCATCGACTTCAAATGACCAATGTCAGACATACCGCCACCTTCAGAGCCAAAACGCTCAAAAACCATAAAGTCTTCTGGGCTGAGGGCCTTGCGTGAAACAAGCGTCTTCTCCTTCTCCTGACCCTGCTGACCATGGGTTCGACTGGCCAACGCGCTCAGCAGACACGTGCCAACTGCGGTCAATGGGCTCAGCCCATGCCCCAAACGCCGCGAGGGCAATAAGGGCAAACTGCCGGTAGAGATGTGCTCGGGGGCAGCGACAATGGGCACAGCCTTCGCCGTGCGATCTGCGGCCTGCGTCAAGTGAATGCGTACATCACCGGCCGGATTGGTCTCCAACAGGGCCTTGAAGGGAAAGCACTGCGTCAAACTGAGACGGCCGTCGGACACCTTTTGGTGGAAGGCCACATTGCCCGTGTTGAGGTTAAAGGCGAGCTCATATGTCTGCCCGTCGTCATTGTTGTAAAAGATGGCCAAAACGTCATCAAAGATGGCCACCGAGCTCTGTAAGAGTGCCTCGTCCTTCACCAATTGACGACCCTCCACCATAAGGGTGCAGCCCCGGTTCAAGGTGAGGCGCGAAGGCACAGCTGCCAGTGGCGCCGAGGGCTGGGGGTCCCACAATGAGCGACCCTCTGACTCGGCCACAAATGGCGCCAGGCCGCCATTCTTTGTTTCACCGAAGCAAAAAAGTTGCGAACCGACAAGTGCAAGCGAAGTTTTGGGACCTGCGGCCAGCGTACGCACACCCTCTAGACCGAGCGGAACATAAGCAGCAGCCGTGACAATGTCATGACCGACGCCGAGCTGCCCGCTTGTGTTATTGCCCGATCCAAAAACCAAGCCATCTTTGGTCAACGCCAGCACATGGTCAGAGCCAGCGGCCAACTCGGTGACATGGGCACCGGCCAGCAGCGTCACGACTTCGAGATGCTGACGTGCTCCAAAACTGGCCACCTTAGACAAGACAGACTCCTTGTCATCAGCAACAGCCTTATCGTCGTCGTCGGCGCCCTGACAGCACGCACGACAAGCGCCACACTTGATGCAACCCGCGTCGCCGTTGCCACATCCACAGAGGTCCCCAGGCTGGCGATTGGCAGCTGTGTGACGATAGCAGCTCGAGCCTGACTGCGTGCAGTTGAGGCATAACGTGCACACGCGAGCCTTGTGCACTTGAAAATCATGCTCACACACGCGGGCCTGCGCGGTCGTGCCAGCAGCGCTGGAAACCCGCACAACTCCATTTTCGCTGTTGACTTGAGAGCTGGAATCAAGCAAAGTGCCCGAGGACGCAGAGGTCACGACAAGGCGATCATCGAGAGCAGCCATGGCACCGATGCCCTCCTGCGCCAACACACGGTCTTCGCAGATCACGAGTGAGATATGCAGGCCTAGGTCGGAGATCTTTTTGGCTGCCACACACTTCTCGCACCAGCGCAACTTGCGATAGAGGCTTTGATCCAAGCTTGCATAACTGGCCTCCTTCTCGGACAGCGTGCCGCACTCGCGACAGGTCGGACCGCGTCCGCGAGTTGACTTGGCGGCTTTTGTCAGATGGCCCAATAGAATGGTCTGATCGAGCTCGGGCGTGACCTCAGAGTCTGCTTCAGAAACGGCTGGCATGGTCACGCGGTTGGAATACCAGGCCTGGCGCTTGACCAAATCATCTACCGTTTGGCAAGACCGGCAATTGCAACCATTGTTTGGACCGCATCGGCCATCGCACGAGCCACATGCACACTGCTTGAGGGGTCGCCCACAGTAGAATTTGCCCGTATTGCCGCGTTTGACCCATGAATTGGCGGGGTTTAGCAGCGAGCCGTCGGGTCTGCGTTGCAAAATGAGCGGGTCCTCGTGTTGGCGCACATGTAGGATGACGTTGTTGGAGAGTGCCACATAGAGCCCCCCATCCAAGGTCAGGACCATGTGGGTCACGCGAAGACCCTCCGGTGGACGGTAATACAGACGTGGCATGGGTGTGGCATGCTTGTATTTGAGCTCGGTTTCCAAGGGCAGCTGACCCAGCAGATATACGCAGCCGCTCTCGCTGAGGCACGCCACACGCTCGCCTCGGTGCGCTGCCGTAACAGCTTGCAGAGGCTCTTCCATAGCAATCGGGTACCATGTCTAAAGCCCGTGAAAACCAACACATGAGGCTGTCTCGATGACCTTGTCCGATGAACAAACAAACGCATTCACGAGAGCAACAACGGCAACATGGAAACACAAAAACAAAAGCAACACAGAGGAGCAGCAGGAGCGCGGGGAGGGGGAGAGAGCCCTCGGGAGAGAAGGAGACAGAAGCGAAGAGAAGGCGAGAAAAGAAGAAAGCGGAAACGTTGGAAGGGCGGCGAGCACGGGGTGGGATACATGGGGATGATGAGCTGGTATTAAAACTAACCTTGCCGTCTTCTACAGCAACCCCAAGGGCTTCTACGAGACTGCCAGCAACGAACAGGTTGCCCTCATCCGAGAGTGCGACAGCAAACGACTCGTTGATGACAACGTCGCGGGGAACAAAGTCCATGGTAACTGCAAGGGGTTCTTGTTGTGCGTTGCCAATGCAGGTCTGCCCATGGACGCTGTATTTGTTGTAAGTCTGGCCACGCAAAGGATGAGGTGAAGGGAAGCAGATAAAAGTTGCTGGGCTGAGAAAAAAGGAAGACAGGAAACAAACGACAAAGAAAGAAAATAAAACAAAATAAGTTTCTCAGACCGACCTGACTCAGCATTTGCGTTGACGTGGTGTACAAAGTGGAGCCACTGGTGTCAAGAGACATGCGACGTAGACGCCAGGAGTGTGCAGCAGCCTCCAGCACACCCACTGTATCTGCAGCGGCAACAAGCGCGTGGGGCAGTGCACCAATCTGCTCAACGAGCAGGATCGTGTGAGGCAGCGCTGTGACAAGAAACACAAACATGCACATAGGCAACAATGCGACGCCAACATCTCCTCTGCCCAACTGGGGTCAGGTTGGCTCTTGAAGTAGTTGATACAAGCGGGTAACGATTGAGCACTGACCAAGCCCTCGCCTTCTGCTTGCATAACAATACCGTCGGGCTCGAGTGTGGTCATGTTGAGCTTCATGAAAATGCCTGGTTCGTCGTCCTGGTGGCGGATCAGCAACGTATGCTGCCAGACAACATGAAATGCGCGTCTGAGGTTAGAAAGTTGCACGGGATCTCGACAGTGCCACTGGCCACGATCAGAAGCAAGCGTTGTCATATGGCCAGACATACATCGAGGCAGCCCATCCAAGGTGCGACCAGGCGAGTGTCGGGAAGGGACACGAATTGATAGATGTGACCACGAAGGCTGCCGTTAAAGCCCGTGCCCATCTGTTGTAAAAGGAGAAGAAAAGGAACAAAAAAAAAACCGGTCGCACGTGTCATCAGCCAAGCCTTTCCGCACAAACCAGGCTCGTGGGCTGATAATTAATCGGAACAAGCACGGTGAGGCAGCTCGATGCTGAGTGTTACGCTCTATTCACCTTGAGGACAGCGCATCCAAAGTGCAAGTAACAATATGAATCATCGCTTGCAATGGACGGCAGCACATCATCTAATGGCAACAAGCCGAAAGTGCGGCATGAGTAGGCGACTAAAAGTCATGCATGTGATGTTGATCAACGTGGTCATGTGATGGTTGTATATACAACACAAAGCGCAGGTGTACCCACTCTGAAGCGCCGCGCGAAGGCTTTCGTCCAAAAACGCAGTGGTTTCAATCCTAGGAAAACCCCCCACAATGTCAGCACCGTGAAAGGAAAAGATGGGCCTCCTTTGCAAAACGCGACAGGCCGTAGAACGCACATGTCGACTTGGGTGGAGGGGTTGGGTGCCATTTTCAGCCAGGATTGAGCGCGATTGGGAAAGATGTCCTGCATCAAGCCTTCGTGCAGGCGTCGGACATTTCGAGGGACGTTGATCAGCGTGCTGGTCGCGGTCTCTTGGGCACGGATAAGCGATAAAATGCATTGCAAAATTTCGTCGACGTTTCCGCGCGCTGCCGCTAGGCTCAAGACGCCCTGAGGCAATGGGTGAAGGGCGTTTCGATGAGTGACGAGGCAGCTCTGAAGCACACAAGAGAAGCTTCGATGATAGTTGCACCAACCGCAAAAGCCAATCCACTGAGGGCGGGTTGCACGCGGGCAGTCTGTTCAAAAGCTGAGCGTAGATCCCGCATCAGCGTTTCGTCCTCGCCCTCAAAGGAGCAAGGGTCAGCACCCTAGGGGCGGTGAAGTAGAGATGAGCAACGTGTCAAATGCCCTTGGAATTGCGCTGACAAAAATGTCTCAACAGGAGCGGCATGAAGTGCGGTGACTGACCGAGATGACTTGAACCATGTTTGCGAGCAGGCGCGAGGCGATATCCTAGACAGCGCAAGTGGATGGCCCGTGACCTCTGATCGATTTGGCAAAATGCAAGATAGCCATGGCAGTGACAGACCATGTTTGTCGATGCCAGCTCCACAATCACGGCGAGCATACCCCGAAGACCCACGGAGCTCAGCTGGTCAAAGTGTCACATGCAAATGTGGAAAAGAGAGTGAGTGAGTGAGTGAGTGAGTGAGTGAGTGAGTGCACTCTCTGTGTGGGTGTGGTGTGCGAGTTCAGGGGTAGATACTGTGCTGTGCTCACCTGAGACATTTGCACTGGCGTTGCTTCGGTCGTAGTTTCGTCATTCTCGAGATCAGTACAAGCTTGTCGTTGTGCCTCAATGGATTTTCCCGCAGCCTTGAACCTGCCAACGCGACAGAGCCAGCATGGCGACAGAGTCAGCAAAGCCAGAACAGTAGACAGCAACTGGAAAAAAAAAAAAAAAGGTTGATCAACTCACCAGGCCTCTCCGGCGGAGGCACGAGCGGTCAGAACGGCTTCGCGCACAACGGCAAAGGCCGTGGTGGAGGAATGCACGTCATACGTGTAGATCAAGTCGTTCTGTGGTCGCCCGCGGCGAGGTGCACAGTGGTGAGCTGTTACAGTGGACCAAGCGCTGAAAAGGCCGTCCCCTCTGGGCCTGTCTTTGACAAAGCAACCCCTGCGCACCTTGGCAGCACCAGCCGCTGGGTTGTTGTTGGCATCAGCATTGTTCTTGCGGCGGTTCTTGCGCTTTTTTTTGCCACCTTTACTGCTCTTTTCTGACTTGGCTTCGCGTGAAATCGCACTCAATTCACCCAGGACCTTGACAGGGCGGGAGCAATGATTGGGGCAGCGCGGCGGGTTGCGATTGAGCCAAGGCGATTGGACGGGCAAATTGCGATTGGGCCAGGATGGGGGCGGGATAGCACGCAAGAGCACACCTCTTTCGTATCCACTTTGCCCTTGAGCGTGAGAAGGGTAAATTGCCGAAAGAGAGCATCTCCGGAATCCCCCCCGTCAGCCAGCCAATCGCGAAGAACATCCATGGCGGCGGTGACGAGCGGGCTGAGAAGATCAGCTCCACGCCCAGCTGTCAGCCAGGTTTCGCCGGCCGCTGGGCCGCGAGGTTGCTCCAAACGCTGGAGGCGAGCTTTAATCGCCCCCCCCCCCCCTGTTCAAATGAAAATCAGGCACGTCTATGGATAGCGCCAAAGGAGACGAGCCGTGGCGAGTGAGGCGAAGCTCTGGCAAGGTGTCAGCGTCAGCGCAACACGACCGACTGGATCAGTCTGTTTTGTCCCCCGCCTGCAAGAGCATACACACACACACACACACACACAAAAGCACCTATAGCCCATAGCCCGCAGTCAAACCCTTCACCCCTTGCCCCTAGCCCATTCTTTCCAACAGACACCCTGGCTGCCGAAACGGTATCCAGCTCATCGCCCGCACACACCTTTCCAGACTGATCTCGCGTCCCATTCACTGACCCTTTGAGTGTCTGAGTGAGACAAGAGAAAAATAAGAGCAGAGAGAGAGAAGTGAGAC